GTTATTATTTTTGTCATAGCTGACGAGATTTTCCGCTTTAGCCTTCTGCGTGTCCACGAGACCGTCAGAGCTAGAGGCTATCTCCTTCAACGAGCCTCCACAAAATTGTTTCGACTGCAGAGCTCAACTTGTCAATCCTGCAACTCGTGGCAACAGTATCTCTAATGGTTTCGTTTTTAGTGATGCCTCATCACAACTTGACAAAGCAAGCATCCAACGGCTGCTTCGTGATGCGATAACTTGTCATTGTGTGCGATCATTCTGTGAAGCTTGCCAGCCTCCATTTATTTGCCTCACTCTGGATGAGCAAGTCGAGCCTTATCGCCAAAGGGGCCTTCCATTTGCTCGAGAAATGGCCCAATCGCGCTGCTTCGAATGTACCCTCGTTCAGTTTTCCTCATTTGGCCCAATTTTACGTTGGGCATTTATGGCGAGTTTGCATAAATTGAGTAGAATAGCATCACGGAATGACATGAAGTTTGACCTCACAAGTGCCGGTGGATAAAGTATGGATACCCAATCCTTTTAGAGGTCATGTTGGTGGGAAGACTTAGAGGAACGCACCTTGTCCGAAGTCAATTGTATGCATCATCATTTGCAAAGTCGGACCGTGGATGTGGTACATTATCAAACGTTTCACCGGCATCGTCAGTGAGTATCGCCATTCTTAGCACAACACACCAACTCGTCAAAGAGACAAATGAAAACGATCCTTTGACCAAACATGTGATAAACAGTTGTGATATCTCCCATTCTTGTTGAGCTTACTTCCATTTCGAGTAGAAGTGTTGCGTGAAGAGATTCGAAGGTCGGTTCCACCAGAAGACGACGGCGAATTCCTCTTGACCAGATGTCGATTGGCTTTACTGGAACATTCCTGCTGACGCTGTTTCCGAGGCAATCTCGTTCGATTCCGGTGAATAGGTGCTAAGCTTTCGTCCGTCACATGATGAACATCATCAGAGCAAGGTATCATCGTCACAACAAAATTGAAGCTAATGAATCAAGAAAACTCACCGGCAAATCCCTAAAAAGTGGTACACATACTCTACATCTGGCCTCTTTGATCAAGTATAAAGTGATATGATATGTATTCATCCAATTTCGTTTAAGCTGATGAAGGACTGGTAGAAAAATAATTTTCCCACAACGATATGAGTTGAGCTGACGTTTCCATTGAATTTCACATTGCCTTGCTTTCCCAAAAGTTGCTCCCATTCAGACAGAAGTGGACTGCAGTTTCGACCTCGCATCGGTCTTGTCAACAGCCTCGCCGGGAGTCGAACCGCGACAGGGCAGGATGTCGCAGAGGGGTTTGATTGGACCGATGCGAGGTCGAAACTGCAGTCCACTTCTGTCTGAATGGAAGCAACTTTTGGGAAAGCAAGGCTATGTGAAATTGAATGCAAACGTCAGCTTAACTCATATGATTGTGGGAAAATTCTTCTTATACCAGTTCTTCATTACCGTAAACGAAATTGGGTGAATACATCTCATACTACTGATCTACTGTTAGTCACGACAACAATAGTTAATTCG